CTCAAGCGAGGAACTGCAATTTTTAGATTAGGCAACTGGCCTCTCCCACACTGGAAGTAAACACCCCGACAGTCCAGCCAGCTGCATAACCCTCACGCGAGGGTGAGGGGCGAATTTGCACCTCACCTGCGGCAATTCTGAAAGAAAGAGGAGCCCCTTAGTAAAAGGGAGACTAGAGTATTCTGCATGATGGTTCTCAATCCCGGCTGCACATTAGAATGACTTGGGAGCTTTTGAAACATTCTGGTGCCTGCCTCCCTTCCCTGAGTCTGCAGCTCAATCGGCCTTAGAGTGGACCTGTGGTTGCTAAAGATCCCCCAGTGATTATAAAGCTCAGTGAAGTTTAGGGACCGCTGATATAGCCCAAAGGTTAAGATCAAAGGGTTTGGGGTCAGGGGGACTTAAGCTCAAGATAATGCTGCCATTTGCTACCTGTGTGGCTTTGGACAAACCATGTGCCCCTCAAAGCTTCACTTCCTGCTGCATGGCTGTGCTGAACCAGGTAATGAACGTCAAACACCTGCAGAGACTAAGGGCTCCATGTGAGCTGCCTCAATAGCCATGGAAGTCGGCATTAGGAACAGGCTAAAAAGACAGCCCAAAATTCGTGGGGCTCAGTGGTTACACCAGGTATGCTGACATAGTGACATTAGGGATTCCAGCATGGAGTGGTGTTTTGCACCCAGGTTTTGGGGATATCTGTTCTCTAATTCAACCCGATTCCATTATTATCTGCTTCAGCCCAAAGCCCTTGGGGACTGTTACTGAAAATGAAAGGTCCATTCTCTTTATGAATATGGTTCTAGAAATCAGGCTCTATCAAAACAGCCACAGCTTCATCCATGGAGCAGTTGCATACTCCATTTCATTAATCCCATTATCAGCCCTGAAATGAATGCTGTGTTCTCCTCTGGGGAGGCTGGGGAGATCCTCTGACCAAAGGGTCTGGGGGTGGGGAGGATGCTGAGTGAGCATTTTGGCAGTTCACCCCTCCCCAAAGCTGGAGTCACAAATCCCCACCGTCAGGGCTGAGGGGAGCCACATAAAGCCAGGAAATAAACCTGCTGCTGAAACCAGCAGGCTGAGGCTCCCTCAGACCCTTTCTCCTGCTTGGGCGGTCTCTTCTTCTGGGGGTGGCAGAAGGGGGTCAAGTTGTGATTAAAGGGGAATCTGAGATTGACACAACTTGTTTAACTTTAATTCAAACAAAAATAAGAGGTCCTCCCGGCTGGTGCTCAGCAGTGTCCTGAAGGGATGGGGTGGGAAGGATGCAGGGACATCCTAGAAGATCCAGCCCTCGCCTTACCTTGGTGTCTCCTCCATCCTTAGGACTGCCCTGGATGCTTAAAGCCGTGCTTGTCTGCTGCTGTTATGCAGACTGGAGAGCTTGGCCTAGGCTTGACATTCACTTTCCTCTTCACACAAACCAGTCATTTGAGGGGCTGCAGACTATGGGTTTAGCCAGCTTTGGGGGTGTCGGGGGTGGGGGGTGCAGGGAGTGCTCTCATCATCCTCCCTAAAAAGCCCAAGAAGACCCCTTGTTGCCGTGTGGGTACTGTGCACAACCCAACTAGAGGCAGAGTCGTAACGAGCTGCAGCAGTCTGATTCCTTCCTGTGCTCTGTAATTGTTTCTGTGCAGCTGTTGAACAGCTGTGGAATCTCAGTCCAGAGGTAGATGATGCACTTTCCATGCTGAATAATATGATTCTTGGAGGTGGGGGTGGGGAGGAATACGTGGAAGAGCGACATTCACTGAGCATCTCTGAAGTTCCAGATGCCTAGCTATGCACTTTACATAAAGATTATTTCCAGTTCTCTCTAAACCTCATGTGAGAAGTTGGACAACTTATCCAGTCACAACTACTGAGTGGCTGAGCTGGGATTCCAACCCAAGGTGTATCTGACAGTTCAAGTTTATGGTTGGGCCATTTTATACCCAACATGCTAGTAAATATCAAAATCTCTGACAATTCCATTGCTGTGGAGCAAATAAGAGGCAATGAGGAAAGGTGGCAGATAGTCTCCAAATATGGCCTCCAAGTCCCCTCATCCATCAGGTCATGGTACTTCTCCTGTGAAGGACTGGAACCTATTTCCCTCTCCTTGAACCTGGGCCAGCCTTTGGCCTGTTTTAACTGATAGAATATGGCAGCAGTAGCATTCTTAGAGTTTTGAATCCAGGCCTTGAATGGACTGGCAGCTTCTGCTCCCTCCCTCTGGGAAGCCAGCCACCTGCTATAAAAAGTCCCAGGTTAGACAAATGAATGGTGAAAGTCCACGTGGAGACAGGGGCCACTGGGTCACCAGGTGTATGACTAAAGGTTTTTTGGACCTTCCACCCAGTCTACTGGCTAGATGATTACAGTCAAATGAGTGATCCCAGGCAACATCAGCCGAAGAACCACCCCACTGAGCCCAGTTAATCCACAGAATCATGAAAGATAACAAATCACTGTTTGAAGTCACTAAGTTTGGGGATGGTTTTTATGCAACAATAAATCACATCACATAAATAGGGAAGGAAAAAATGAGTGTGGCATCTACACCTGCAGTGTGATAGCAAACCTTGCTGGTTTCATCCCCACTTCCCATGCTTCATTTTTCCCACTTAAGTGCTGGTCACCTGTAGCCAAATGAAGTGCCACTGAGTTTACCAGATGTCTGAGGAGCCTGGAAATTCATAAGTCAGAATACCCTAAATAAGCAAAGCAGAAAAATACAGGTTTAAAAGGGAGCCCTGCACATGATCCCAACAAGCTGTGTAGCTAAGAAACAAATACAGATTTGTCAAATGGTGGTGGAGTTGGCAGGGGGGACAAAGGAATCTTCCTCTCTCTAAAAGAAGTCAAGTTGATAAGAGCAAGATCAGCAACCCAATAAAAAAAATGGGCAAAGGACAGGAGAGGCAGGTTCCAGAAGAACACACCCAAATCACCAACAAACATGGGAAAAAATGTTCAAAGGCACCAGTAGTCAGAGAAATACAAATTAGGTAATAATAAGCTATTGCTTCCTTATTAAAAACACTGATAATACCCAATGCTAGTGAGGCTATGGGGAAAGGCTTATAAGCTGCTATGCAAATGTGAATTATTACACTTTTGAAACACAATCTAGCAACATCTATTAAAAACATACTAAGGGTGGGGCATGGTGGCTCACGCCTGTAATCCTAGCACTCTGGGAGGCTGAGGTGGGAGGATTGCTTGAGCTCAGGAGTTCAAGACTAGCCTGAGCAAGAGTGATACCCCATCTGTACTGAAAATAGAAAAATTAGCTGGGTGTTGTGGTGCACGCCTGTAGTCCCAGTTACTTGGAAGGCTGAGGCAGGAGGATCGGTTAAGCCCAGGAGTTTGAGGTTGCTGTGAGCTATGATGATGCCACTGCACTCTAGCCTGGGCAACAGAGTGAGACTCTGTCTCAAAAAAAAAAAAAAAAAAAAAAAAACCCAACATACTAAGTATGTAAGGATATATGTTCAGGAATGTTTACTGCAGGCATTGTTCACAATGGCAAAAACTTGAAGTGAATGCTAATTGATAAGAGAATGACTGAAAATATTATGGTCTATTCCATACCAGGAATATTTTAGAACCATTCAAAAGAATAAATTGAAGTTATAACAAGTGCCTTGGAGGGGTTTCCCATGGGATATTGCTGAGAAAAGCACAAAGCATTAAAAATGTATCAAATAGGATCTTATTTTTTAAAAACAATGACAAAACCGGTATCTGTATTTATGTTTATATGTATGTTTATATACATATATCTCTACATAAGTGTCTATGTGCATGGAAAAAATATGAAGGGTGCATACATGGTCATTAGCATGCTTACCTTGGACAGAGTAGAGGGGTGATATGTTGAAAAAAGGAACCAAAGGAGGTACCCAAATTAAAGGGAAAAGAAAAAAAAAGACAACACTAAAAGAAAGTATATGATGATATCGCGTTTATACATTTGTATGAAATTATATATATATGCCATGTGTACACAAAAATATAAAATAGCATGAAAGCAAAAACACGAAATAAAGCAAATACTGATTTCTATTTCATCCCTACATAGGTATCCCTGAAACACAGGATACTGGCATCTAAAAATGATTCCTTTTGTTCTGCAGTGACTTCATGTAGAAGTGCTGCTGCCGACCCAAGTCCCGATTCCTGCAGGGTGCAGGCCAGACAGAGGCCCAGCAGCCTCTCCCCTCCAGCACCGGTTCTGAACAGGAAAACTTCTCCAAAACCTGAGACGTTTCCACTGATCTCCAAGCTGGAAGCTCTAAGAACTGGCAGATCACGCTCACGTCTGAGCGTCTGTGTGCAGGCGGGCTCCGGGCTGATAGGTGCCTCCTGCCCGCAAGCAACCAGCCCCTCACCTGTCCCCACTGCCCTAGCAGCCCATGGGGTCTCTAGTCCACACACCCCCAGCTTTATTTCCCTTCCTTGCCTCCCACGCCAACTCATTCTCTCAGACACCCAGTTCCCCAAACATCAATATCTCCCCTGTCAGGACTTCGGGGGCTTCAACTCACAAGCCACGCACTAGAGAGGAAAGTCCAGCCACAAGAGCGGAGTTTACCTGGGGGCCACGTGGTCCCTGACCACCAAATGCCGCCCTCCCATCCCTCCTTCCGGCAGCAAGCCAGCCCCACTCGACAGAGGAAACACTCCCACCCCACCTCTGTGTCCACAGACGTCAGAGCTTCTAGTGCACTTCAGCCACTGCGACAGGAAAAGGTGCACCACGAGCTCTCCAAGGCCAGGGCTGGGGAAGGGGGCGTGGGAGTGACTGCTGAATGGGCACAGGGTCTCCCTTGGGGGTGACGAAAAAGTGCTGGAACTAGACAGGGATGAGGGTTACACGACATTGTGAACGTACCTACTGCCACTGAATGGTATGCTCTAAAATGGTTAAAATGGTAAATCTATGTTATGTGTATTTTTCCACAACTAAAAAAAAAAAAGGTACCCAAAGACCTGGTGGAGCCTCATATTACCCTTTCGAGTCTCCTCGACGCTGGTGTTCGTGGCCGTGGCGTTCGGCCAGTTCTCAGATGGCTGCTCTCCACGCCCACCTAAAGGAACAGAGAAGGAAGGAGTGTGAGGATGCATCAGGGATGCGGGAGCAAACCCGGCCACCTGGGCGATGCTCACGATCAAGGTGCAGCAGTTACATTTGTTCAGCAAAGGTTTACTGGGCACCGACCACATGCCGGGCACTGTTCTAGACGCAAGGGCAAAAGTGAACCTGCTTTGTATAACCACACACATCACTCACAATGAATAAAAGTATTACTCTCTTCGATCGGCTTAAGGGCACTCAGAGTCAAATTTACAAAGTTAACATGCAATGCCAAAGTCAGCTTTCTCACCCCACCTGCATAAGAAAGGCCAAATGCAAAGGGGACCCCCTGTGGGTCTGGAGTCCACCTGGTGCAGAGGGCAGGGAAGCGTCACCGGCACCGGCACTGCTGCTGAACACATGAGGGCTCAGTGACGGCTGCTTTGGTATTCGGGGCACTCTTGGGCTTTTTGGTTTTCTCTTGGAGTGAGTCCCCTTTAGAAACTGCTGTGTTTATTTTATAAATTAGACTCTGGAGACACTGTGTCCACCAAGGACAGCGGTGCTCGTGCATGTTTGCCAGCAGCCATCATCCATAATCCGTGTTAGCATCTGTCTCCATCAGGAAGATGGTCAATCAGCAAATATTTATTTGACCTACTATGTGCCAGGTACAGGTCCAAGCACAGTGGATCCAGCAGCAAGCAAGACAGACGTGTTCCTGCCCTCAAGATGTTTCTGTTCTAAATGGGGAGGTAGATGATAAACGGCAAGTAAGAAAATAAATGAATAAGATAATTACAGGTTGGAAAAATGCTCCAAAGAAGTGCATCAAGTAATTCAGTGTGTGGTTGAGCGTGGTTGGAGGGAGGGGGCCCTCGGGGAAGTGATGTTGGGGGTCAGATCTGAAAAGCAGGAAGATCCATGTGGCCGTACATGGAAATCTGGGCCAGGGCACCCCAGCAGAGGAAGGATGGGGAAGGAGCCTGGGCCAGGTCTGAGCTCACCGTGGGGAGAGGATACTGGCCAGAGAGGGAGGCCAGGGCCACAGAGCCTTGCCAGCCAGGCTGCGTCCTTTGACTTTATTCTCTTTGTCACAGGAGGGTTTAAAGCAGGAGAGGGATGTGTTTTTATTTGTGTTTTACCAAGAGTGCTCTGGGATACAGGCAGGCAAAAGTAGAACCTGGGTGATCAGTTAGGAGGCTTGCAAGGGTCCAGGCGAGAGACGGCGGTGGCGTGGACCCGACACTGCGAGAGAGGCACTGGGCCCGGTCATGTTAGGGATTTAGTGGCAGGCAGAGCCAACGGGAGGGGCTGCTGGGTTCCATGGGAGGGCTGAGAGGGGCCTCCAGTGACTCCTGCACTTGGGGTTTGAGCAACTGGGTGGTAGTGACACAAGGGAGCAGATTTGAGGACAGAGACTGTGTCCCAGAGAGATTATTATACACACGGAACCACATCGAAGCAACCAAAGGACAATCTCTTTACAAACAAAAAAATATTTCTTGCATTTGTTTAAAAATTTGCAGCTTACGGAGCAGTTCCCGGTATCCCCTTTGACCCTGATAAGAACACGCTGTGGCGGCTGTAGTGTAACCCCATTTTCCAGAGAAGGAAACTGAGGCACAAAATGATTAGCCCAGAGGTACCCGGCCCATGAGGGGAGCTGCAGGGTCAGGACACATCTCCTGGTCAGAAAGTCCACGATGTTCCTGGTGCCCACAGCCAGCAACTCCCGGCACTGCTCAGCCAAGGTGCACACAGCACCACGCTCCCCGACATGGAACCCACCCTGGGTCCAGACAACCCTGGAGACGGCCACGTGGTCCCAGGTCCCAACTTCTGACATGCAGGCCACCCCCTCCCTCTGTGTGATGGTGACTGTGCTGTTGGCAATGGCTGCAGCTTCCGGGCCTCCTGTAGAGAAGGTTCCGCTAAGGCGAGGCGGGACGGGAGGCTCAGCGCCTGCATCCCGCTGGTCCGCTGCCTCCTGGCCAAGCCGGAATCCGCTCACACACTCCCTGCAGCTGCCGGGGCGTTCGCTGCCAGCTCCCAGCCCTCTGGGTATTCTTCCAGTTGCGATATCATTTCCTCCCCAGCTAAAGGTCGGGGGAAATCCTGATGGTATGAAATCGTCCCCCAGCAGAGGAATGTGCCACCTGTGGCGTGGAAGCCGCTGGGGCCGGGGCCCTGGTCTGCTGAGCCACCACCCAGCTGTGCAAAGCGCCACTGAGAACTCGGGCGCTCGCACTTTCCATCTGTCAAATGGGCTGTTGCAAGGACCAAATGAGGTAATGGGTTTGTTTAGGCATGCGTTCATTCAACAAATATTTATCCGACACCTGCTCTGGGCCAGACGCTGTTTCTGTTGTTCAGGATACGACACTGAAGAAACTGTACCCTGACCTCATGGAAATTCTATTCTGATGAAGGGTGGGGGAGAAAATGATAAACAAACAGGCCACTAGATATTTAAGTCAGCTGTTGATAAATGCTACAAAGAAAATAAATGGGGGTGAAGGGACAGGGAACACTAGGGAGGAAGTCTAGAGAAGAGCATTCCAAACTGGGGACAGCAGGTGCACAGGCCCTGGGGTGGGAGTGTGCTTGGCGCAGGGAGGCAGGTGTGACTGGAACCAATGAGGGGCTGGTAGGTCAGTGGGCAGAGGAGGGTCTGGAGGGTCACCCACGTGGGGCCTTGCAGGCCACTTTCAGGACTTTGGCTTTTATTCTGAGTGAACTTGATGAGAACCAGAGGACATGAGGGGGCTTTGTGACTGCACCGATTTTATACGTGACGGAGTAGTAGTGGGCAGGAGCTGGCATTTGAAATGAGATTCCATAAAGCTCTGGAAACCCGGCATCGGGGATTGGCAAGTTTAGACCTGCTTGGTTCCTGCAAAAAGGATGTGGGAGCAAAACAGAAAAAAATAGACCCATAAGGGTAGCTGGGCACAGTCCAGGTTCAAGGTGAACTGGAGGCTGTGATTGAGGAAGCCAGGGCTGGGAGAGACTGATATTCAGCTCTGCCACAGGCAGAGGAGGCAAGGAGGATGAGGACTCTGGTTCCCTCGTCTCTCTGGTGCTTGAGGTTACAACAGGAGCAAGGCTCGGGAGTTGGGGGAGGCCAGGTGCCCGCATAGATGGGAAAGGATCAGTGTTTGCTATGGGCCAATTAAGGCGCTGACCACGTGCTGAGAACAGTGCTAAGAGCTTTCCTTGCTTTGAGTTTTGCAATTCTAGGATCACAAAGACCCAATGACAAAAGGACCATGAACGCCCCTATTTTATGGATAAGGAAACAAGGTTCCAAGAGGTGAAGTGACTTGCCTCTCTTGAGGGTGCAGAGATGGTTAGTAATGGTGATGGCTGCAGCTGGTTCCTGTCAGAACCCCAGTCCTGTGCCCCTTCTCCTCAGCCCCAGACCCAGAAAGGAGAACGAGGACAAGTGAGGTGCCTGGTAGAGGCTGGAGATTCCCAAGGGACACAGGGCATTGCCCGTGCAGCAGGTCTGTGAAAGGACATCTGAGCCTGGGGCTTTGGTAGTTGAGAACACATGTCCCTCCTCTGTTCTTATCAATAAGAGGTGGGAGGTTCCGTCTTTTTTTGAAGAAGAACAGCATATCTCAGGCTTCCAGTGCTGTCTGAGACTGGGATGTACCTGGAGTTAATGTGGTTTGCCCACTCCCCTGATGAAAGCCCTTCTGTGTCTCTCCACCGCCCTTGGGATGAGTTCACCTCCCAGCACAACTGATGGAGCCCTACTGCTATGGCCCTGCGGGTCTCCTCTCCTGCCACCGCCCCGCTCCCACCTGTGCCTGGCGCTAAGCTACTCAGAGAGCCTCAGGTTTCCATCTTCCTCTCACTTATGCACCTTCCTCAGCCACAGACCTCTTCACCTGGCCAAATCCACCTGGTCCTTCACGGGTCCACTGAGACACCACTTCCTCTGGGAAGCCACCCCCTTGCTCCTCTCGGTGAAAAGCCCTTCTTCTTTGCTCCCACAGCCCCCTGGGCTCCTCCTCCACCCTCACCAGAGCTGCTGGGATCTCCTGTTTACTCAGTTCAAGGCTTCAGAGTCTAGATTTTAGCTTTTAGCATCTTGAAAGAAGGGATCTAGTTTTGTCTAACAGTGAATACCCAGCACCCAGCTTGGCACAAGGCAGGTACCAAGTAAAATACGGGAGGGAGGGATGGATGGATGGACAAATGAGCCAGGTAGACAGTGTTTAGAAAGAGAACTCAATTATTTCTAACTCAGCTTAACTGTTGGAAAAAATTGTCTTTATCAGCTTTTATGGAAAGAGGGAGGTAGCTATTCTTGGAACAATGGCTCTCAACCTTGACTACAATTTTGAATCATCTGGGAAGCCTTTAAGAAAATACTGATGTCTGCTTTCCACCCCTAGAGGTTCTTATTTAATTGGTCTGGGGCATGGCTTGGGCATGAGGAGTTTTAAAAACTCCCCAGGTGATTCTAAGGTGTAGCTAAGATTGAGATCCGTTGCTCAGAGAACCCTGCAAGAGGAAGCCTCATCTCATGCTATTTTCTTACCACCAACCTCTTTCCTCCCAAGCTCACCATGAATGGAAGACCTGGAGTTGGAGACAGACACAAGAAACACTAGGAAAAGTTGTTTCTCACATCTAAATCGATGGAAAGCAGTTCTCTGTTTCAGTAAAAGGCTGGAAACCACTAAGACAGGTGTTGCTCTGGCTGTGACTGCAGCTGTAGGCATCACAGAACAAAGAGGAGAGAAACAGCCCAAGGCAGACAAAGACTGGCGTCAAGGAGAGGAGGGCATTCAGGCTATGGGGACATATTTTTCCTTGGGTGTGATTGCAAGACAAAAAAAAATGTTTGAAAAAATACATATATATCCCCATATTTGATCTTTGCTTAATTACCTCTTCAGTGGGAGGATATGCAAAGACCTTGTAGATTTCATTAGTCACAGAGGTTTATTCAAACGTCTCCTTTGCATAAAAAACCCAGGCTTACAGCTGGTCTCT